CTGCGTGCCGGGGCCTGGCCCTGAGATGTACACGGGCTCGCTTAACACACACGCTCTGCTTTGGAGGCGAACTTGTTTTGTAAATCGATAGGCCAGCGCTATGGGGGAATTTCCAGATCAATAATAGATCACTCAAGATTGGTCAGCACACGCTCCCTGCGTTACAGTTTGGGATAGAAAAACGAGAGAAAGAGACGCAGCGGCTCCTTTTATTTGGGGAGAGGGGCGAAAGTGTGACCTTTTTAAGGCTGGAGAGCAGATGCCAAAGGAAAAGTTGGGTATTAGCAGCGGCTCGCTCAAAAACCGAGAGTGGGATTCGTGCGCAATGTCAAAACTGAACCCAACCTAAAACCGGGAGTCCATTCCCAAAGGGCGCCGGAAAGTGGTTGATCGTGGCCAGCAAACGTCGCAGAGTGCTGGCCTGCTCGATCCTTTGGAACTAGACTGAAAGGCCTTGCGATCTCTCCGCCCCTCCCCCGCCACCACCTCAGACTGAGCAGCGTGAACCCGGAGAGGATCCCCCGCCCGGCCCTGCTGCGCGCCGCGTTGTTTCCGAGCGAAGGCAAGCGGCGACTCAAAGGGCCGAGGGAGGCTTCCCAGCTGGCGCCTCCTCCGCAGCCCGCTCTGTCCCGCACCGCGCGGATTTGCGCGGCCGCCTGTTTTGCATATGCGTTGCGATTGGAGGAAGGGATCAAAAGGCGCGCGGGAGGCGCTCGTTTGCTCCCCAGGCAGGCCGCGAATGCGAAAGAGGCGAGGAGGAGCCCCGCGGGGTGGGGTTTTTTAGGGGGCGGGGAGGGGTAGAAAGCGCACTCCCATGGAAACTAGGTTCGAAACTCGCGCAAGCATTCGTGACCGCCTTAACCACAGCTCTTAGCAATAAAAATATAAAACTAGGCAGTAGGCACGATCGAACCAGGACATTCATAAGGGAGGCGTTTTGCCTCAAGACGTAGCTGCATAATGGTTTTGGGGGAGGAAAAATAGCTGCAGCCTTGTTCACAAGCTCTCCTCAGGAAGGAGAAACGCAAAGGGAGCGAGGTCCCTCGGGGATCTCCTTTCCCGTTCCTTATTTCCTGAGGCTAAGTTTGGGCAGAACTTTGGAACTGTTCACTGTTGTTTTCTATCCGCCATCAGGTATGAGGGTGGCGCGCCCCTCGGGCACCTGAACTGGTGCAGAAGGCGCAGTGAGGCAGCGCCAACTGGTCTTTGGAAAGTGCGGAAGGCTGCCTTTCTAAACAGCTCGTGCAAGTCACAGAAAGGGGTACGAGTAGAAACCGAGGACTGTCGGTCCTTTAGATCTCTCTCTCCTCCCCCTCCGCCTTTTCTTTAGCTGCCCAATTGCTCATCTACGATAGCAGAAGGCGTGAGGTTTTGTACGCTGAGAAGGAAACGTGCGCGAGTGCCACTGGGGGGTAAGGGAGTTCCTTGGAAGAAAAGCCTCAACCTTACCAGTTAACCTAGCTACTAGTTAGCCTTCACGGGCGAGATCGGGCTGGGATCTTCCCTAGACCTTTTACGCGTGCCTATGCTCAGCAGTGAGTCCCATTGAGCTCAAGGCAATAAGTTCCATTGCGCTCAATGGGACTTAACTCCCTAACAAAAGCGTGTAGGACTTTGCAAGCTGGACGACTTTCCTACGGTTCAGTTCCGAACAAAGCACGGCTGATCAACTGCGAGCATCCCACTTTGGCTTCTTTATTGCATTTGATTTCCAAAAGGAAAAAGAAAAAGGAGAAGCAAAGGAGCCAGAATCGAGCCTTTGCCTTAAAATCTTAGGAATTAGCAGGCACAGCGATGGTGATGGATGGGGGGAAGTAAGATGAAAGGAAAGGCACTCAAACCACCAGAAGGATATTTTTTTCCGTCGCATATTCCAAAACTCAAAAAAAGTTGTGTGTGTGTGTGGTGCAATTCAATGTGGAGGGACATTCTGGAGCTGAGCCCCTTGTCCACCTCAGGAGTTTTCCAATCGCCCTCAGCTCCCGGATCCGCTCATCTCCAGGCTTGGCTGCGGGCAGGAGGCTTCTCTCTGTCAGACTCCATCCTGATTTGCAGGATTGTCACACGCATCTCCAGCACGCACTCACGCATACACCGTCCACACGTCCACGCAGGTGGCGCTCACGCCTGAGCATTTGGGCTGGGCCCTCTTCCACCATCACCAAATCAATAGTCCCTTTGGGTCACTGTAGAGAGTCCACACGGCGTCAAATTCAGAGGCAGAAAAGGTCTGGGACTCGTGTGTGCGCTCGTGTGTGTGTCGGAGACAGACGCGGGTGGGGGTGGGCTTTGGTATTTTCACCTCAATTTAACAGTTATTGCAAGCGAGTGAGCGGAAAAAGACTCCTCATTCACACTTTTCCGCCTTCTGCTACCCTTATTTAGTTATTTAATTAATTTACATCCCGCCTTGGAGACGTGGGTGGGAGCCCGCTCCCTTCACAAGAAAGCTTATCCATTGAAAAACTTACAAATCGGCGCGATTCTAAGGAAGTCTAATCCAGTCCTGCATGTTTTTTGGCTAGGGTAAATGTGCTTTTTTCGTGGAGGACGAGGGAGGAAAAGACCAGAACATAATGTTTTTATACTAGACAAAGTTGACTCAACAGCATCCTCGTTTTGAGGGGGGGGCGTTGCGAGAGGGGGAACCTTGAGATGAGAGGGAGGAGGTTATTATTTGAACACACCGCAGCCCAAGTTAAGCCCTTTCGTTTCACTGATTGCAGCGGGGAAATTGTTTTTTTAAATGTCTAAATCTCTCCTATTGGATGCAATGGAAATTGAAACTTCTTAACTCTGCCGCCTGCGTAAGATGTTGTCAGCTTCTAATCAACAATAAACTCCATACTTCCAGGTAATTGGGTATCAGGAGTGCCAACTTGGTCCCACGACCATGGGTGCCCGAGGTCGTGGGTGCCATGCAGCGTGCATGGCCCTGGCACCGAAATTTGTGGGTGCTCAAGCACCCAGGACCCCAGGGACTTGGCACCCATGGTAGGTATAAAAAATTTACCTTTTAAGAAACAAATGGATTTCCCTTGGAAAGCTGCAAATGATGGGAGAAGATAATGTTTTATTGCTCCGAATGATAGTCGTTATCAAATTATTTAGTCCTACTCATTTCTCCCCTACTCAGTCCCCCATTTATTTCTCTCTTTTCAAAAACAACTCTTTCACTCACTTGTCCTGCCTTGTTTTTTATATTGTTATTTCTAAAGCGATGAATTTGGAACATCGTATCTCTCGCTGAATTATGTCTCTTGCCTTCGTTGTCGTTGAGGGCAATGCATGAAGGGGAAAATGATCACCAGCCGCCTAACATACGCCTTCTACCCTTTAAAGCAAGTAAAAAGAAACCCCAAAGCGACCAATTTTATCAACTGCAGCCTCGCTTTGAAAACTTCGGAAGGGTTCTCCTATTACAGTACTTTGAATTATAGCATTAATGCATATTTATTTCTAGCTATCAATCTGGCACCACTTACTCTGGAATAGAACCAACGACTTTTAAACTGTATCCCAGAGAGGAGGAGGAGGTGTCTGAATTGCACGTCCCTCTCAAGTGTTGTACGTTGTTTTGTTTTTCTTTTAACCACAGCAAAGTCAGACGTGAATTCAAAGTAAAAAATAAAACACCCCCCCCACACACACACCCATCGCAAAACACAAGCAGAAGCCCAGACGAAGTTCTCCGCAGAATGACGCAAGGCAAATCAAAGGAGAGTTTTGGTCCAGTAGCAGGAGGTCCAGGCGCAGGACAGATGGGCATTGGCTGGTGACGGGGACCAATCAAGTGAATTAAGTTCAGAGGCCATTTCCAATGTCTTCATTCTCAGCCTTCCGTGGCCAGCGGAATAAACTTCATCTCGTATGTATGTATGTATGTATGTATGTATGTATAAATAAATACATAATCAGTGTGGCAATGAAAAATGTCAAGGCACCCACTGAATCGTATTGAATTTAGAGTTACTTGAATCGAACGGATTCATTTCTCTCGTTTGATCTTCTGAGAACAGCCTCTTAAGACTGCAGGGGAAGACTAACTAACATCTCGCTTGGTTTCATTTAAGAATAAATAACGAGTTTTAAGATATATATATATATATATATTAGGTTGCTGTGGGAGTCGGGAGGAAATCGAGTTGGACTTTTCAGTTTGGCAAACGATGGCTTTGAATCAACGAGCCCCTCACTTCGGGGTTTCGTCGCCACACTTTCTTTTGGGCACAAAGAGCCCTGATTTATTCTTCCCCTTTGCTTGCCGGCATTTGTTTTTACCAAGTCTGGCTATTGTTGTGAGTGTTGCAGTCATTTTATGCGTATTAGGAATTCATGGAGATTTCAGTCCTGTTTCAAAAGAAAAACCAACCTATGTTCCATGTCATTTGGTGCACAAAATAGGGTAGGTTAGAGTGGGAAGTTGGACCTGTTAAACCGGAAGTTAAATCGGGAAATTCTCCTAAATGTACTTTTAAATCCAAAATTCTATCTGGAGGGTTTTAATATATATATATATTTATTTATTTTGGATGCTCCTCACACCTATTTGCAAATATCCCACTGATTTCACCATGTATATTGTCCTGAACTCGTTGGAGGAAAGATGAGATAGAAATGTAATAATAATAATAATAATAATAATAATAATAATAATAATAATACAATGGGACTTGCTTCTAAGTAAGTGCGTCCTAGGCATAAAGCACATTCGCAATCGGATTCTATCCCCGCTTTCTCCGATTTAATACCCACCAAGTTGCTGCGGCATGCTCCCAAATAGTTTGCAAAAAATACATGAATACAATTTTACTCAGATTTCGATTCCGTACAGCGCATTGAAGTCTCCCTCACCTTGCAAGGCTTTACCCCTTCAAAGCAGCTTTTCATTGGTTTTGAAACAAGTCCCACTCTAAACCAATTTTCCTTTACCTCCCCTCCTCCCCTCAGATGAAGAAGGAGGTAGAACCCAAAAGAAGAAACCCAAATCTTTTTTTGAATTATCATTTCACCGTTTTTAATTTGAAATTTTCATCCAGAAACACTGGTCCATAATAATAAATATATCGATAGTTCTCAAGAATATATAAAAAATAAAGACACGTCATCGTCTGTGAGGCCCTTCACAAAATAGTGTCAAGCAAGCGCCCAGAAAGGGGGAACGGGGAAAGAGAGAGAGAGAGAGAGAGCGGGGAAGGTCGGAGGGAGAGTCAGGGGGACGCCAAGCCCGCATGCAGGATGGGACTGACTGAAGGATGGGAGGCCAGGGAAGCGCGCACCGTCTTGGACGCGGCGGATCCGGCGTGGAAGGGTTGTCTCTAACCTAGTGCGGGGAGGCTGGACGGCTCCAGGGCAAAACGGGGAGGCAGCAAACTGTCTCGTCTAGAGGGAAGAACATCCTGGGCTAGCACGTCGAGACTGCACTCCTAAATCCTTGTTACAAGGAAAACTGCCTTGGTGCCGTCCGAACAACCATGGTCTGGATACTAATAATAACAACGTAGGCTCGAAGCACGCATGCAGTCGCTTGAGAGGAACGGACGCCCCGTCGGAAAATTAAAAGGGTTCCTGTATCTGCCCCAGCGTAACTTAAAAAAAGAAAATCCACGTTCAGTCCGATTCAAAAGCCAGTTTGCTGAGTTTAGCCAATTAGTGTCCCTGGGTTACTCTTATTTTCAAAGGGTTTATGTTCCCAGCATAAAAGGCCTTGGTTTGTGGATCCGACCGTTCGTCGTCTAAACTCCCCTAGCCCAGAAGACATTGGAAATAAGCGTCAGTGGATATAAACCCCATTCAGCCTCCGCTAAGCAGCTCCAGTTACTGCAGATTCTACGCGCACCCCCACCCTTAAATAAAGGAGACACCCCTCTCTTCTCGGGAGGAAGCCCCGCTGGTTTGAACGGGACTTAATCCAAAGTAAGTCCTCTTACTTTGTCTAACTCTTGTAGTTGCACTGCTTGACTCAGAAGTCCTGATGAAGTTTGCACAGGATTGCAAACTTCACTAGGATCCTGGCCACTGGCTTTTAAAACGAGCTAACTTCCAAATCAGCCCCCACACTCTTCAGCTCCAGGAATGACCCTTCCACGCTTTCGTAGACGGCGAAATCGTTGCGAACCGCAATGCAACCAAGCAAGCGACCGCTTCTGCGGCTGTGAACAAGTACAATGAAAAGAGAGAGAGAGAGAGCCATCTCTTCTCCCGCCCCCATCCGTTTTCAAGCACTTATTTACATTCTCGTTCCCTCCCCTCTCCCTATTTCCTGAATTGACAGGGATTTTAAAAGAAAAAGAAATCACAGGAAAAAACAAAACACCCAGAATCCAACCAAAAAGGTTACCTTGCAAGGTCCTTTGCCCCTAAACACACACACGTCCCCCTGGTTACAGCAAATGAAGTTTGGAGACAGCATCAGACGGGACGGAGGGAGGAAGGGAGGAAGAGAGAGAGAAAGAGAGAGCGAGAGAGAAGGGAAAACAGGAGTTGGAGGAGGAGAATCAAGCATGCGACGACACCGCGGGACCTCTGGGCTGCTTCACCTTTTCGAGTCCTTCCGGCTTGCCCCCCCCCCCCGTGGCTTCCGGGGCAGCGAGAGGTCTTTTTTCCGAGGGGGCGGGCGGTGGTCTTCGCTAGACCCTCCCGCGGGCGGGCGAGAGACGTGGCCAAGGCCCCCTCTGAGAGGCGGCGGCGAGTTCACTTCAGCAGGTCCTTGGCTTCTGTGGAGATCCGGGCCAGGCTGGCCGTCGTGGTGAGAGCCGAGAGGTGCGGCGGCGGAGGCATCTGGCAGATGCTGCAGGGACAAGGCAAGCCGGCCCAGTGCTGGAAGCCCCCTCCGAGCTGCAGGGCCGGCGGCGCCGGGGGGGTCTTGAGCAGCGAGTGCGGCGGCCGGATGGCGCCGATGGCCGGCAGGGAAGCCGAGAGCGGCGGCGGGTTGCCCCCCGAGGACAAGGCGCCGCCCAGGATGGGGTGCACAGGGTGCACGGCGCCCGGCGGGTGGGCCGGGTGCCCGGCGGAGTGCGCCACCGTCCCGCAGTGGAAGGCCGAGTGGTGGCCGCCGTAGATCTCGCCCACCAGCCGCTTCATCTCCTCCAGGGAGCTGGTGAGCATCAGGATGTAGTTGCGCGCCAGCAGCAGCGTGGCGATCTTGGAGAGCTTGCGCACCGACGGCCCGTGCGCGTAAGGCATCACCTCGCGGAGCCCGTCCATGGCCAGGTTGAGGTCGTGCATCCGCTTGCGCTCGCGCCCGTTGATCTTCAGCCGCAGCTGCTGCAGGTCCTGCTCCGACAGCTGCTTCTTGATCTTGTACTTGCTGCTTTCGCTCGACGAGCCCTTGGAGCCGGCCCGGGAGAGGCCCTCGCCCGGCCCGCGCTGGCCCACCTCGCTCTGCGTCGACGAGACCGAGTGGTGGTGGTGATGGTGGTGGTGGTGGTGGTCCCGCAGGTACATCTCCTCCATGTCTGGCGAGGAGGCTCTGCTGGAGAGAGAGCTGGAGTCAGAATTCATGGTCTGGCTGCAGGGGCCGGGAAGGTGCAAGAAGGGGCTTCCCCGCTCGAGGGGAAGGAGGAAGAGGAGGAGGAATGGCAAGCAGGCAGGCAGGAGGGCCACCAAGCTCTTCTGCCAACGAGAATGAAAGTGGTCGAGACAGAGGAGGAGATCCCCCTTCCCCGCCTCTCTCTCTCTCCCCTCCCTCTCCAGGAGAGCTGCTGGCTTCGTGTGCGTGCGGCTGCGCGCCTGAGCTCGCTCTAAGGCTGCCTCGCCAGCCGAGGGGCTTTTTATAGAGCCGCGGGCGAGCCAGAGAGACAAAAGGCGCCCTCCTGCCTCGAAGGGGCTTGTTCGGGATGACGCGCCATTCTTCAGCGAGGCGCGCTTGGACGGCCCCGTTTAGCAAGGACCCCGCTTCGCAGGCATTGTGCGCCGGAGCCTCCCGCGGACCCCTCAGCCCAGGGACCCGCGGGAGTCCCGGAGACGGCAGCCCCGCCCCGCCGGGGACGGACAGCGCGCACAGCCTGCGCTCGCTTTGGCCTCTCTTCCTCGACGGGCCGGGAGGAGGCTGGAGCCCTCGTCGGGGCTTAAGGGCGGGGGCATTTTGATCCTCCCTCTTGGTATGTGTCAAATAAATAGGGGGTGGGTGGGTTAGGAAGTGGAGGAGGGGAGAGAGACACGATCCAACATGCCGGGAACTGGGCTTTCCAAATCCCCGCAGCTCCGAGCTTAGGGAGGCACTCGTGCTCCTTTAAGCAACGTCGGGTTTTGTCCGTCCTCTGTATGTTTACTAAGAAGCAAGTCCCGTTAGAAGTACTTTTGAGTAAACGACGCGTAGAGAAGAGGCGGGGAAATCTTACTCCGAAGTAGCCTCCGAGGGGTTTCCATGAGGTTTGGGGGAACACTCTGAGGCTACTCAGGAGAAAGTGATTCTGCCTCGGTTCGCTGCCCGGCAGAATCAGTGGCGCTCGATCGGGTTAGCTATCCCCGCGCGGGAACAAACGAATATCGTTTGCAGTTTAATCCTATGCGTGCTTACTCATAAGCAATTCCTTGTGAGTTCAGGGCGGCTTGCTCCTAGGTAAGTGGAGATAGGACTGCAGTCTTAATTGAAATGTGCATCAGACTGCTGTCCCCGAAGCTCATCCCCTCTTCCCAGTGCATTTAAAAGGGCTGTTTTTATTTGGACTGGGTTGTGGGTTTATTTGGACTGGGTTTACCCCTACTGTCGGTTTCAAAGGCAAGCGTGCCTCGTTACTGTCCAATCGACGTGTGAATGCTTTCGTTTACTCTATAAAAATGTAGGCCATGTTCCTGAATAACTCACTTTTCGAAATAATTTATCCCGCCCCCACGTCTCTTAATACCTCTGGCCTGTCCAGAGACGGTAGACAAGGGCTTTACTGATGCATACATTTATTTTATTATTATTATTATTATGAACTATAAACGCGGCAGTTCGCAGACTATATTTTTGTTGTTTTTCAGTTTAAAATATTGGAGTTTTGCCTGACATCTCCATGGACTTTTCAATTCTTTTATCATTTCTCGAAGTTATGTTGAGCTTGTTTATTTGGTTGGACGGAAAAAACAGGGATAACTTGCTTCCCAAGTGAGCGCAGATACATATATATTGAAATCTCCCCAATATCTCTGAAAACTTTCAATCTTAAAATATGATGGAGACTGCGTAGATTTAATGGAGAGTATAGTTTCGAGTATTGCGCTTAGCTTAGTCCATTTACTGGGAAGCAAATTTTATTGATTCTCTGGGATTTAACCTTCAAATAAATGTGTGTTTTTTAGATCACTTTATGAGTCTGCGGGAAATGGCTCACAGATGAAACTGGACTCCGTTCCGTTCGCATTCCTTTGGCTCACACCGTGTTCGTTTCTTTCTATCTTGCGGAAATATGCAGAAGGCATCCTAAACGGCGCAACAACTCCGTGTGTGTCTGTGTGCGCGTGCGCGTGCATGTGAACAAGTGACCCCCCAAGTAAGCAAAAAAGAAGCCGCCTCTGCCACACGTCACCAAGGGGGACAACATTCTGCAAAATGGAGCCAGCACAGAAACGACTACACCCAATATAATGTGCACCCAAATTTGTTTCAAATTTCGCTTGGTCAGGCAGGGTGTGGTAAAGCAGCGTAGTTCTCCTAAAACGATTGACCACCCCGACCCCTAAATGTGTTAACTTGGAAGTACCGGTAAATGCCACTGAGTTCAAAATGCCTGAATCCATTTTTACCATGACCCCAGTTCTCCCCTGCGCACTTACTGGGACCAAACCAAATTGAGAGGCAACTGTGGCGATTATTTCCCCGTTGCCTATTGTTGAGCGAGGAGGGCACCCGTTTCTAAAACTCTTCGCTCAAAGGGAAGTCCCATTTTGTTCAGGATAACTGACCTGTGAGCGTAACCAGGATTTTTGTTGCGGGGGGGGGGCAGCCAAAGTTGTTGAGGTTTTTTTTAAGGAAATCAAAGTAAAAATACCCGGTGAATAAGATATTGCGGGAGGCAGACTTCTGCTGGGGGGGGGACCTCAGATAATTGAGTACTTTCAATGCTTAACAATAATATTTGTGCATCTAACCCCCAGGTAACTCTAGAGCTCACAGTGACGTTTACTGGAAAATCCAGCCCGCTGAGATTGATGGCGCATCTCCTGCCCCAAGAAATAGGCACGGAATGAGGACCTTAGCATGGAGTCTGAAGCAGCCCCCACTTGGCACTCAGGGCCACTGCGTGGGTGCCCTCCTGCAGGCAGAGGCGGGGTTCAGTCTTGGCCTTGGAAATCCTGGGACTAAGTGAGGGCACACTGTGCCTTTGCAACACATCCTTTCATAGAATTCTGGGCACTGTGGTTTAAACCTCACACTTGCCATTCTCAGCAGCTCTTAAGGAACTTCAGTGCCCATAATTCTTTGAGGGGGAAGTGTGCTTCGACTGTGCTTCAAAGGTATCGTGTGTGTAGGGTGCTCATATCTCCTCGTTCAATGTGAGTTGGATCACCGCGCCAGAAGCGCCAGGGACTTTGGCAACTGCTTCGGTGGTGAGACCGTGCGAGAATTTGTTAGGCAGAGGGCCTAGGCGGGGGGAAGGCTTGGGAAATGGTTGAGGGCAGGCCAAAGGGATGCGCCTTTGACTGTTGGGGCAACTAGTTGACAATCTCGCTTGACATGGGAAAGGGTTGAATGACAGAGGGTCAGCGACTGGGAAAGAAAGGCGCACGGGCGCCTCAGCTTCTGGAGACCTGTCAAGAGAAGTTTGCTCCAGAGCGAAGACACGCGATAGCTGCTCCGGGTCTTGAAGATGGTGCTGGACACCGCGACGGAGAGCAGGTGGCTTGCAGTCTGTTGGCAGCTGATTTGCGTATGGGTAAATCCGTCAAACATACGCCCAGAAGTTTGTTCGGCCTTTATTGGTGGGTTTTCTTCGATCCAGGCGCGCACACTCCTCGATCGTGTGAACTCAGGAAGCCAGCACGCACGGAAAGTAGTTGCGCGCCTGAGCCTTCCCACCTTCCGGCACTCGAATGGCGCTCAGAGCGCGTGGCCGCTCTCTAAATCGAGAGGGACCTGCGCTTCCAGAGACGTCTGCCTGGGGAAGAGGGGGGTGCCGCCTTCGCAGCACCTGCTGCCCCCAAAGCACTTGCAGGCATAAAGGATCCCTCTTCAGCGGAGCTCTACTAGGGAAGGGGGGGAAAGTACGGTAGATATTTTTAAATACTTTATGGAAAGAAAGAAAGAAAGAAAGAAAGAAAGAAAGAAAGAAAGAAAGAAGAAAGGAAGGAAGGAAGGAAGGAAGGAAGGAAGGAAGGAAGGAAGGAAGATTGGTTTTTGGAAATAACCAGACTCAGAAATAATATCAATCTTCCGCATTTCCTCCCTTAAGTCCCTGAGATGGAGGAAATCCCCAAACCAAGTGACGGAACTGGAAGCGAGGCTGCCTGGAGCAATGGAAGCTTTTAAAATAGTGAAGCCAAACCAATATTTAGAGGCTCCTTAATCCCAGAGCATTTGCTCCAAGCAGACCTACTTCATTTTAGCATCATCTCAGATGATGTTACGAGATCTGTGCTGCCGTCCTCCGCATGTTTGCTTGGGAGTAAGCGCCACTAAGCTCAGTGGAACTTACTTCTGAATAGATATGCAGAGGCTAAAGCGACATGTTAACCTCAACCCTTTTCCATACTTTTATTCCCGCACCCCCACACGGAGCCCAGTCTTACCCCATCTCGGCGAAGATGCGGTTCGAAGCCAAAGGCTCGACCTGGAAGCGACGTCACTTTCCCAAAGCCTCCGAGTTGACAGCACTTCGGTCCTTTCCTGGGCGCGATTCCTTGCACGAGAACCCCAGAAGTACCGATCGAAGCCGGTGGCGAGGTCTCCTCGCTTTAATCTGGAGAATGCATTTTTAAAAATATTAATAGTATTATTAATAATAGCGCAATTGTTATTCCCCCCCCTAAATCGGAACTATTTTAAAAGGAAAGAAAGGAAGACTGACCATCCTGATGTACACCGGCAGCTGCCCAGAGAGCTCCTCCGTTGGAATGAACGATATTCACTGCCAAGGCGACTTAAGGACGATGTTTGGAGGAGGTGAGTGAAGCCTTCCCCCGGTCCCGTGACGAGTAAGCGGGACTGCCCATCGCCTTCAAGTCGCCTCCCGGGTCGGAGCCCTCTGCTGGATCCTCTGCGAACCGAGCAGTCCCGGACCGCCCGAGCACGACTTTCCTACGGATTTCTCCTGAGGCAACTGCTTCATCGGGGAGCAAACGCCTCTCCCAGCCCGCCCCACTCCTGCATCGCTCGACTGCTGACCCTCGATGGGAAACTGAGAGACCCCGAATGGAGGTCTTCATAGAATCGTAGCGTTGGAAGGGACCCCGAGGGTCATCTAGTCCAACCCCCTGCAAACGTGGGGCTCGAACCTACAACCATGAGATTAAGAGTCTCGTGCTCAATCAGTTGAGCTGCTAGAGGGAAAAGGTCTAGCAAAGCACGGCGTCTGGAGAGCTCCCCTCTCCCCGCTCAAAGGAACGGCCCAGCTGGAGGAAAGGGAGATCAGGCATTCGTTCCATATGGATGGGAAAACACTTTTTGCATGCTATGGTGCACTCCCCCCCCCCCGCCCCATGCGTCCGATGACTGAGCTGTAATTCCGAAACCAAGTCCCGCTCACTGAGCCACAACTGTTACATGGCCTGAAACGCTCGGCAACATTTTGCAACTTTTACACCCTATTCCAGCTCTGAAGCCTTGTCACCA